TCCCTATATAGGGATGGCCGGTTAGCTCACTGGCTGAGCGTGGTGCTGACAACACCAAGCTGAGGGTTAAGATCCCCTTACCGGTCATCATTAAAAAAAAAAAAAAAAGAGCATTCTTAGTATTGCTCGTTGTCCTGTCTCCCAAAAATGGCTTACTTCCTTTGCAATAATATGGGTAAGTGCTTGTTAAAATGTCTGTACAATATGAGCTCAATAAGGGATCTAAAACACAGACACATGGGAAAAAAAAGGCTAAAGGGAAATATGCGCAAATGATTGTCTGGGGAGTAGGGAGTTATTCAGAGAGATTTTGTTTTTCTCTCTTATTTTTTCTATTTTCCACTTTCTATAATGAGCATACATTATTTTTGTCATAGAAATTAAGTCAAGTAACATTTGTTGTAAGAAAATGTCCTCTTTAGATTCTCCCCAGGCCCCCAGCCCCAGTTCCCATCTCTTGCCCCACCTGTGCTTCCCTCAAAGATGATTGGAGACTCTGCACCTGTGGCTCTGTGACTGCATGATACAGATCTGAGTCTGCATATTGACTGGTCCTGTGGACAAATGACAGGGACGCCCCAGAACTGTGGACTAATGGGCTTCATCCCTGCCTGTCATCCTTCTTCTCTCCTTCCTCTGGCCTCACTCTCTGCTGGACACAGCCATGTGCCAGCGTGACCCACACTCCAGTCCCACTCTGACCCCATCCCACCCAGCCACACCCTCAGGCCCTCCACAGCTGTCACCCACTGGCTCTTCTGTACAGAATCTAAGCACCCAGCTCCTCTGGCCCTCCCCTCCCCTCTCTTTATCCACCCATCCCAGACCACACCCACAGAGCCCAGGGCTGGATCACTGTCCTGTTCAGGAATTTGGGTTTCAATCCTGCCCACCTGCCCTCTGCCCTAGAGGAAATCTCCGTCAGCGAGAATGTGTGTGGAGCTGATTTATGACTCATTCCCTTCCATCCTCGCAGGTTCCTCTTCCCTGAGCTGCCACAAGACAGAAGCAGTAGAGAGTATCAGGTGGACAATCTGCCTGCCAGGAAGGGGAAGAGAAGGCGAGCAAGATCAGGGACAGGGAGGCTGAGGGAGACTCTGGTGCCTGTCCCCAGACCCCTGAAGTGGGGGATGGGCATCAAGTCAGGGTACAGGCAGAATGCACAGCAGACATATCAGAGGCAGCCCCTGCCATCCACCATCCACTCACCCTCGTCGCCTCTGGCCTCAGTGTGACACTGAGCTCAGGGGAGAAGCACTCTCTCTGATATCACCCGCAGTCAGCACTGTTGGAAGGAGAAGGCGCTGCCTGCCTGCCGTGCCCTGCATACTGCTCACAGTGTTCCAAACTCACGACTTTCCCAGCCTGGTTTGGGATCATCAATGCCATCACCATGGATTGTTGTGTGTCCATCTTGTGAGGCCCCTCCTCCAATCATCCAGGCCCCTCCCAGCTGCCCCTGTGTTTGGCATCTCTGCTCTGTGGGTTCAGGCACAGAACTGTTTCTTAACTAAGTGAACTAATTTAGCAATCTCATCTTATCTTGTAGGGTTTGTTTTGTTCGTCAAACTCTTCCATATTCATTTTCTCATCGAAACCCTGGAATGTTTTCCAACTGTTAGATGAGGACAAAACCTTTCCACACACCTTGTTGAGTTGCCATGAGGATTAAATAAGCAAACATAGATGAAGCACCTAGAACAATGCGTGGCGCATAGTCATTGCTCAGTAAGCATCACCAGTTGGTATTGACCAGGTGGCACCTTCCTATTTTACAGGAGGTGGGGAAATCCAGACTAGTCGAACGGGTCAGAGTCAGGACTAGAACCCAGGTCTGCACAGAGCAGACTCTCTGGAGAGAAGCTCGCCCCGGGCTCCTCACGTCCAGGGCGGCAGGCGGTGTGAGGTGGTTGAACCCCTGTTGCCCCCCTCAAGCTGCATGATTTGGGGCAAGCCCCTTTGCCTCTCTGAATCTCACTCTGCTCAGCTATAAAATGGGATGTTATTAACCACCTCAGGAGATGTTGAGGAGACAAAATGAGATGAAGTGCCACAAGCATCTGTGAGTTTCCTTGCAAGTAGAAGATTCTCAGTGAATGTCAGCATCCCCACCCCCACCCCCTGCCCCCAGCTCTCCAGGGCTGCCAGCCCACATAGTGTCCTTATGCAAATTTGAAGAAGCCCCCCTCTAGGTTGGTGCAGCCCTGCAGGCCACATCTTAGGGAGAGAACATAGGCTAGATTTCACCTCCTACATACCCCTTAGTGACAAACATGAGCAGTGAACACCCTAGACAACTGTATGCAGCAGCCCCATGCCCACCCCCTTCATTAATTTCTATGATTGTCATCCAACCCCAAGAATGCCAAGAAACAAGCTCTCTCTATTTTCTATCCCCTGTGAAATGGTGACCCCTTCTCCTCTAAGGGCATCTTACCTGCCTCCCAAGAAGCTAGAAGGAAGAGGAGGCAGCACTGGAGGCCGTGGGCTGGCTGGGCCATGTCAGAGCAGGGCAGCTGCTTGGGCACTGAGGGCTGGGGACCACTCACCTTATATGGGGCCAGACTTGACGTCATGGAGACTCTGGCCCCTTGGGACTAAACCTTAAACAAATGGAGCCGCCCTACCACAATGCGCTGCCCTGATAACTGGAGACCACAGCTGGTGCGTCATGGAGCCAGGTACCTGGGTGCCTGCTGAAGGTGGGGGATCTGGGGGCAGGGAAAAGAGCCAAGTGGGGGCAGACTCTTGACCCAGCCCCAGTGGAGGGAAGGGGTTTGGGCAGGATGGCCTCCAGAGCCCCAGGGAGGTGGGGAGCAGCTGGCTGGGTTATAGGACTGAGCTCTGGCTGCAGTAGGACAGGGTGGGACTTCTGGGAGAAAGTCCGTGTTCTCACCATTTCCAGGTTCCAGCTCGCCCTCCTGCCTCTCGCCCAGCTCTCCCCACCCCTTACTCACACATGCTCACTCTTTCCACCCTGGGTGGAGCTGTCTACGAGGATCAGGTGAAAGAGCAAAGAAGGGGGAAAGCCCTCCCATGGCCCTGAAGAAAGTGCTTCAAGATGTCCAGCAATGACACAACAAGATGTGGAGAGCGTGGAGGCAGTGACCGACAAGACAGACATGGAACCTCAGGGATCAACATTGCGCACCTCGCCAGGGACACAGACAAGCCAGGCCACCCAGAGGGATTGCACCGAGGTCTTTGCCAAGGATGCTGGCATACAGGGGCTTCTGCCTCTGCTATACCACTCCCCCTCAGCCCAGTGGCCCTCTGCCTAAAAACCCCCATCTGCCCCTATACGCAAGGGCAGACATCTCATTCTAGGAGCTCCCAGGAGTTCCCCCTTCCCTTCCTCCATCCTCCTTGCCTGGGACAAGTATTAGCTCAGAGACTGTCACTTATCTGCCCAGACAAGTGACATGGAGCGGAGAGAGCTGGGACCCTGAGGGCAGTGGGCCAGGGCCTTGGGACGGCTGGCTTCAGGAGAGGACTAGAGTACTGAACACGTGCGTTCCTCTCGTTACTGGCTGTGACTTGTCCCTGAGCCCTAGGCAGGGCTGAAGTGGGTGGGAAGAAGAGAGGAGGACAATTGCTCATTAATTTGATTAATAGGAGATTAATGAGGCTCCATGGAGTCAGGCCAAAAAGACTGACTACTCAGAATGGGCAGCCTGCTTCTCAAGCAAAGCATCCTGCAGGATGGTAAAACTGAGGCAGAGGCAGGCCTTACTCTGCAACTCCATCTGGACTCAGGGGTGACTGACAGCCCCTTTCTACTAGTCTCCTATCCCACCCTTTCTACTAGTCCCCCATCCCACCCTTTCTCCAGGGATCCAGGCCTCTAAGACAGTGCTTCTCTCCAGGGAAAGGCAATTTTGCCCCCTGCCAAGTGACATTTGGCTATTTTTGGAGACATTCTTGTCATGACTTAGAGGGGTGCTACAGGCACCTAGTGGGTAGAGGCCAGAGATGCTGCTAAATATTCTGTGATGCACAGGACAGCCTCTACACCAAAGTGATCCAGCCCAATACATCAATAGTGCTGCGGTTGGGAATCTCCACTTTAGAATAAGCATTAGTCACTATTTGTGAATGGACATCTCCTTCCCTCCTCTTTTAGCCACAACTTCCCCCAGAGGACTCAGGCATCTGGAGTAAAGGAACCTGGGAATAGGTGGAGAACCAGGATGATCTCTTAAAGTAAGTGGAGGCTGTTTTGTCTGAGCTGGAGGCCGAGGGGCCAGTCATGATACAACCCTACTGACTACTGATGTTTGAGTATTGCTGTGTACTGAAGGATGTACTCAGCACCCCACCTATGAGTTATGTCCTGGAAGGTTGGCAATGTCATCCTCATTTTACAGATGAGCAGCAACAAGCCCAGGTCAGGGAAGTGACTTGCCCAAGGTCACACACCTGGTAAGCAGCGGAGCCCAGCCTTGGCCCGTTCCTATACGACGACAAAGCCTGTGCGCTTGGGCAAATACACAGGGGCTGAGAGACAAGTGTAGGGGATGCTGGGGTTTTCTGGAATATTTAAATAGTTAGTGAAATCTTTTTATTTATTATATTTATTTTTTAATTGACACAATAATTGTTCATATTTATGGGGTTCATAAATATTTCGCTACATGTATACACTGTGAGATGATCAATGCAGGCTAATTAGCATCTGCATCACCATCTGGAAGCGAAAGGACGATAACCAACATCATGAAAACACATGAAAGAATGAAGCTCACTGGTAGAGCGGATCCGCAAATGAGGAAGAGAAAAAATTCATATTTTATCACTTCAGAAAACTATCAAACTGCAAAGATGGCAGGATGCCATTTTATTTAGCAAGAATTGTATCCACCACCCTTCTGGAGCAGTCTAAGGGGACATCGCAGAGCGGGGAGAAAATCTGGGGGTTTTGTGGGGTCAGGAGCCAGACTGAGGGGGCTCCCTATGGAAGGAGGTGTGAAGAGGAACCTCTCCCCTCGCTCCTGTGCCCAGGAGGGCCCAAGCCAAGTGTCCTCAGCTGAGGAGCTTCTCTGATAGTTGGGGGAGGGTAGGAAAGGATGAGGAGCAAAGGTTCCAAGTGCCCAGACCCAGACTCACGAGGGCTGGGAGGCCCCTGGACACCACCTAGCCCTGGCCCTTCCTTCTACAGATGCGAAAACTGCAGTCAGAGGGGTTGGGTGCCTCCCCCCAGACCGCAGGGCTGACAGCAGGGTGGGGACTGGAACCTCAGCTTCCCGCTTGGTGACTGACAGTGGACTTCCCCTTACACTGTCGGTGGAGGCGTCCGGGGGGGCCAGTGACCCCAGGAACCCACCTGCAGGAAAGGGTCCCAGCGAGGGTAAATGGGACAGGTGAGACTGGGAATGGTCTATTTGGAGGGGGGAGAAGGAAGGCCAAAGGGGTAGGGCACTCGGCTGTCCTGGCCCCGCCCTTTCATTTGACAGAGTAGCGCTGGCTGGTGGCCTCTGGGTGGCAGCTATAAGGGGACACAGAGCCACAGCCACACCCCAGATTCATCTCCCTCTGGAACTGGCAGGCCTGTGAGATGAGGGAGGGATAGGATGGATTAACCAAGGGGCTGGGAACCCGCCGCCCAGCCCTCAGCTCTGTGCATGGACTGCTGCCTCCCCCCAGTCCCCAGGCTCTCAGCCCTCCTCTTGAAGGGAAAACATTAATAGTAATGAATAAGACTACATACTGAGCTCTTACTATGTGCCAAGAACCACTTAGTGCTCTTACATGTGTAAGCTCATTTGATCCTCCCAACAGCCCTCGGAGATGGATGCTATCATCCTCACTTTATACAGGACTCAATGACCTTGTTTGTAAAATGAGGGGTACTAATACTACCTATATCACAGGGTTGCTGTAAACTAACATACGTACAGCACCCAGCACAAGGTCACACAGCTATAATGGCAAAGCCAGAAACCTGGTTCTTCATTGCCCAGAGCTGATTTTAGTAGCCTCCAGCCCTCCACCACCACCACCACCTTTCGGTGCCCTAACTCCCCACCCCTGCTAGGCCAACATTTCCTTTCAGCCACTCAGACTCAGGTTCCTTTTCCCCTCCATCCCCCAAGCTCGGCAAACTGTCATCTCCTCCCTGAAGCCAGTTCTTCTCAGAGTCCTGGGGCGCCAGGTCCCAGCCCCACTGGCCTTGGGGACCCATACATTTGGACTACAGTTTCACTCACCTTCTTGATACCATACATTAAGCCAATGATTGCTGCCACCAGAGTGAGAGTGATCAACACGATGGCCCAGTCTGGGACAGAGCCCTTTTCCTGAGGCTTCGGCACTGAGGTACAAAGAGAGGGACAATGACCAAGGCAGCTGGCACCTCAAGCTCCCCCAACCCCCACTACCCCCATGACTTTCCATCTTTCTTTCTGTGACTCTAAGGTCTGTGTGACCCTAAGAACACATCTCTCTGTGGAGTCCTCTCCTATCATCTTGGGAGCAGAATCTCAGTGGAAGGGAGTCTAAGCCCCAGTCACCTTTTTCCCAACACCTATAGATGTGTCTGTTGGCCCCCAAACTCCTCACTGACTGAGACCCAAGCAAGAGCAAAGCAGAAATCACATCCAATGTACAGAGGTATTGATATTCAACACTGTAGCCCACAGATATGTACAATCAATGTTTGAATTAAAAATAAAACTTAAAAAAATCCTAGCAACTTTTTGGTAGAAATTGATGAACTGACGGCATAGCCAAGAAAATCTTAAAGAAAAACCAAAGTGAAATATTTATGCTATAGGGGATCTGAGGACGTGCTACAAAGCTGCGGTCACTGAGCGCCGTGGCAGTGGAGTGAGAACAGATACAGAAGAGCAGAGTGTGGTGCAGAGACAGACCCATAGGGACGGCCACCTGACTTCCCATAAAAGTGCTCACACAATTCAACGGGCAGTGGGGGCCCTTTGAAATAAATGGTTCTGGGGTAACAGGATATCCATAAAAAGAAAAACAAAAACAAAAAAACAAAAAACCTTGACCTTCACCTCACTCCATACACAAAAATTAATTTGAGATGGATCATAGGCTTAAATTTGAAAGCTAAAATAATAAAGTTTCTGGAAGAAGGCATAGGAGAATATTTTCATGATCTCAAAGTAGGCAAAAATTGTCTTAGGTGGGATACCAAAGGCACTAACCACAGAGAAAAGGTTGAAAATTTGAAAAACAGAAAGAGGGGCCCTTGTACACTCAGAAAGGCAAGGAGCTGCTTCCACCGAGGCTCTGGGAAACTGCAGGACTTAACGCTCAGAGCACAGGGAGCTCCCACCCCAGAGCTACGACTGAGCCAGCCAGTTCTCCAGAGATGGACAGAGCAACGGAAAGAGCACCTGATGATGTGGCCACTGGTCCCGAAGTGCTCCCAGAGACAGTCGGAGCTAAAGTCTGAGGACTATTGGGAAAACCCCCAGGGGTTGAAGAAACTGTTGAGAAACTCCCAGATGCAGTGGGGAGACTTGCAGAGACTGTGGAGAGACCAGCTGATGCGGTGGGGAGACCTGCAGAGGCTGTAGGGAGACCAGCTGATGCAGTGGGGAGACTCGCAGACATGGTGGGGAGACTCGCAGAGACTGTGGGGAGACCAGCTGATGCGGTGGGGAGACTCGCAGATGCGGTGGGGAGACCTGCAGAGACTGTGGGAAGACCTGCAGATGCGGTGGGGAGACTTGCAGATGCGGTGGGGAGACTCGCAGACACAGTGGGGAGACCTGCAGAGACTGTGGGAAGACCTGCAGATGCGGTGGGGAGACCTGCAGATGCGGTGGGGAGACTTGCAGATGCGGTGGGGAAACTCGCAGACACAGTGGGGAGACCTGCAGAGACTGTGGGGAGACCAGCTGATGCAGTGGGGAGACTTGCAGATGCGATGGGGAGACCTGCAGAGGCTGTAGGGAGACCAGCTGATGCAGTGGGGAGACTCGCAGAGACTGTGGGGAGACCAGCAGATGCAGTGGGGAGACTTCCAGAGATATCCCCAGAGGCAGCAGGGAGACCTGCAGATGCAGTGGGGAGAGCTGCAGAGGCAGTGGGGAGACCTCCAGAGATATCCCCAGAGGCAGTGGGGAGACCTCCAGAGATATCCCCAGAGGCAGTGGGGAGACCTGCAGAGGCAGTGGGGAGGCCTCCAGAGATATCCCCAGAGGCAGTGGGGAGAGCTGCAGAGGCAGCGGGGAGACCTGCAGAGGCAGTGGGGAGACCTGCAGAGGCAGCGGGGAGACCTGCAGAGGCAGTGGGGAGAGCTACAGAGGCAGCGGGGAGACCTGCAGAGGCAGTGGGGAGACCTCCAGATACTGTGTCAGAGGTCCCTGGTGGAGTCAGCTGAGCTGTGGGAAAAAGAAGAAAAACAATAGGGTGGGGTTAGAAGAGTTGCCCATCTCCCTGGGTCCAGAGTCCACATCCTCATTCCAAGACCCCATGTCCAGGCCCAATGCTCACCATGTCCAGCCAAGGCCTGCAGGCCCAGGAGCAGCACCAGCACACCGTCCATTGTGCCAGTTGATGTGCCTTGGCCAGGCCAAGCTCCCTGGCTCTTTAAAGGCTCTGGGGCCTATTACAAGTTCCAGGAGAGCCAGGTGTGCCAAGGCCTCCATCAACACCAGGATCTTCATCCCCTGGGAGAGGTCACCAAGCTGTCCCTGGGGATTAACCTGTCCCAGCATGATCCCAGGAAGCACAGGGTGAGGGGGAGAATGAGTAAGATCCTGAGGACTCCCCACCTGGCCCTCGGGCTCTTCCCGGACTAGGGATCTATCCCCCAAGCCTGAGTTGATCTACAGCCCAGACTTTCCTCCTTGAAACGGGAAGACCCAAGTGTCCTATCCCAAGGTCCTCCTCTTGCTCCAAAAAGTACAACCACTGGGGGTCAGGACATATGGGTCCCTCAGGGAAGCAGGATTTGGGAGCCAGGTTGGTGGAGAGACTGACAGGGCCTGGGAACTGTGCATCTGACCTTCATGAGACCTTGGTGTGGGGTAAGAGAGTGAGCACCTGATCTATCTCTCGCATACGGCTGCAGTCCACAAAGCTTCCCGTTCCTCCGGCAGCAAAGGTACAAGGGGAGAAGAGGGACACCGGGGAAGACACCAGTCTTGTTCAAGGACAGTGTCATGTGAAAGTTCAGAACCCAGCTCTGAAGCCAAACTGCCCTGAATCCCTGCCGGCTCAGCACCAGGGCTGAGCCCACTGCGCTGGAATCCACTGCTGCCGAGCTGTGCATTCTGGGCGAGTCACAAGACCTAAGTCTTAGTTTCTTCACCATAAAATGGGGTAATCTAGTACCTACTTGAAAGGGTCATCATGAGCATTAAATGAAATAACGTTTGTAATGAGCCTAGCACACAGCCAGGCAGCTGGGATTTTATAGGGGGGGGAGCGTCATCTAGGAAAGAGGTGGGGGTGCTCCCACTCTCCTCTTAGGAAGATTCAGGTGCCCCAGAGCATCTCTCCATGTCCCGCTTGCTCCCCCTGCTCACACCTCCCTGTCTGCTGCTCTTTGTGTCCCCGTGTTCTTCCCACCACAGTCTTCCACTCTCCGTTGCGAGTCTGCGAGTCCGCGAGTCCATGGTTGTCTCGCTTTGCATTTATGGCACAGTGAGTGTCTCTGTCTCTCCATTTCTCTGGCTTTGCTTTTGGCTTTTCTTCCTGACTCTGCCCAGTGTTCGCTCAGCTGCCATCCCCCTGAGCTCCCTCCCACTGGTTTCAGGGGAGGGGGAGGGTGTGCTTAAAGAAGAGGCAGGTAGGAAGACGCAGGGCCTGCCTGTGTGTTCAAGGGGGTTTATGTGACTGGTGTGTCAGCCTGTTGAGCAGGTCCCTGTGTGTCTGGCGTAATGAAGATGGATTTTAATATCTCTGCTGCTGACTTGCTCGCTGTCCTTAGCAAGTCATTTACCCTCTTTGGGCCTTTGTTACCTGGCTTTAAAGAAGGGTAGTAAGCTAGATGGGCCCCAAACTCCCTCTAAACATCTGTCCTGTGCTTGCCTTTCTCAGCTCCTGCGTGTTTAGGTCTTGGTTGCGGGTACATGGGTATCCCCTTTACATGGTGCACAAGGAGGGGGTGGGGGGATATTTGGTGAAACTCACATTTCCACCTGAGTATCTAGGATGTGTTAGAGCAACTAGAACAGAACATTCAAAGATGAAAGTCCCCACTACTCAGACTTCTCACCTAGGAAGCCGCTGAGGCTGGGGAGCAGGACACTTGGGAAGAATCGTAGCTTAATCTACCCCTCCCTGTTTGGCCCACATTCCTGAGCCCTTTGGTGGCAAGAATGATGAGAATTAACTGCAGTTAATAATTAATCCCTAAAGAGCCATGAGAGGGCCAGGCTTGGGTGGAGCCCAGTCACCTGCAGGAGGGACACCTTCCTGGTCTCTACTTCCCTCTCTATTCTCTCTCTCTAGGACCAGGGCACCCACCCCACAAGCCTGGAGACATGGGGAGGGGCTGGGGCACAGACCTGAGGAAAGGGGCCACCCTCTCTTTTCCCTAAGAGCTAAGTGAATGGCCCTCTTCTGGGTCCTCAAAGCCATACTGGAAGAACTGGAAAATCTAGTTGCCTGGATTCTCCCTCCTATTTCCCCCCAAACACCGGTGCTAAGGACTGAGCAGGGTGTAGAAAGGCAGGCCTGTTGAGGGGAGGCACCCAGAACTTCAGACATCTCTTCCATCCCACAGGTGGCCACGATGGGGTCTGAGCTACTCCTCTTCCTCCTCCTGACCCTCCTGGGCAGCTCACATGGAACAGGTGAGGGCTGGAGGGCTGGACACCTGGGCCCTCAAGGCAGGCAGAGGCCAGAGGAGGGCAGTGAGACTCCATGGTCCCTGAGAGAGATGCAGACACCCCACTCCTGAGATTGCAAGGATTCAAGACTGAACCCCTGCATCTGGGAGGCTCTGGAAGAGCATAGTCAGGGAAGAGGAACTGGGGGGGAGCGAGAGGCAGGAGGGGCCTGTGTCTCTGAGGGGATGGCCCTGACTGCTGGGCCCTCCGCTGTACTTTTGGATCCCCAGGGCCAGGTATGACTTTGCAACTGAAGCTGAAGGAGTCTTTTCTGGTGAATTCCTCCTATGATTCCACCTTCCTGGAACTGCTTGCAAAGGTAGTTCTTTGAGAGGGGAAAGGATGAGGCCGTGTGATTCTGTGAATTACTTTGACCTCTCCGCTGGGGTCTGGCTATCTCAAGGGTGGGAGTGAGCAGACATCTTGCACCTCACCTTCCAACCCTTTATGTCCCCAGGTCTGCCTCCTCCTCCATCTCCCATCTGGGACCAACATCACCCTCCATCATGCAGGACCCCCACACCACGTCACATGCAAAGTCTGAGAGCAGTTGTGCCCCTCATGGCCAGAGCATTTGACCCCTGGGGCTCAGGGGGTGTGCCCTAACCCTGTCTTCCTGTGGGCCCTCCCCTGCTGAGTGGCAATAAATATGCTGAATTCAGTGACTTGACTTTGTGGGTTAATGAACAGAGGCTGGCAGGAAAAGGGAAATGGACACCCCAGTCTCTGACTCTACCAGTTGCTGAGCAGAGGGTTCCAGGATGGACACTCTCTCCCTCAACACGAGTCAAAGGCTTGGAGGAATCTGGGGAATTGTTTGGGGACACACGCACCACACATCCGCATGAGGGTGAACACAAGCTTTGAGTTGGGATCTCCAGAACACCTTGGAAGAAGGGAAAGCAACGTCTATTGAATTCTGCTGTGTTCCAGGCATGATGCTTTCCTATTTCCATGCTTGTAGCAATCTTGAATGTAGCGTACTAGGTATCATTATCCTATTTCACAGATGAGGAAATCGAAGCTTAAAGAGGGTAAGTCACTCTCCTGAGGTCCAATAGCAATGGAGAGGTTGGGCACCAGACAGATGCCTTGGATTAAGCAAGATTTTAATTTCGTCTTCCTTTGTTTATGATTTGGGGCTGGGGACTCCGGAACCCCAGACAGGGGTGTGGATAGAACATGCCCAGAACCAAGTGATCCACACAGGTCAGTCAGGGTGGGAGGTGGGGTGGGAGGCAGCTCAGGTGAGAGACGAGGGTTCCCCTTGTGAGAGACAGCCGGCCTGGCACAAGTGGTGGGGAGGAAGGATGGGTGTCAGCTGAGCTTGTTCCACTGACCATGTGAGCGTGTAGTCACAGGGGCCCCACACTTGAATCCTGCAGGAGTTCCTTATTCTCCTGGAGCTTCCGTTTCTTCATCTGCAAATGGGGTCAGTGATAAGGACCTGCACCCTAGGACTATTGTGAGGATTGCTCAGATAAGCTGCCTAGGGACATACCACAGAGCCTGTCACCGAGGGAGTGGCATTGGCAATAGGTATTGTTAGGGTGGAAACTCAGTCTCAGCACATAAGTCCAAGTCCCTTGGGGGGACCCAGGGTCCTCCTTTTCCTGATTTCTGGAGGCAGGCACTCACCTGACTCCCCTCCTTGGATTATCTTGACTTTAACCAGCTTGCAGAACACAAGCACGCAGCCCAGATGTGACCATTTGGGGGTGCTGAGATGATTGCTTTGTCCTCCACAGTACCCACCCTGCCCTCCATCACCACCACATGAAATTAGAGACTGATTCCTGGGGAGGGGGTTGGAGAAGACAGTTCAGTAGGGAGCATCCCTGAAGATGAGGAGAGTGGAAGCAAAAACTTAAAAAATTCCTCTGCTTTCCTTTACATCTGTCCTAATACAATTAGCCCTGAGAAGAGGTAGCTGGGAGACACAAAGGAGAACAGAATTTCCTGACTTGCCCCTAGCCTGCCCCAGTGGGAAGGGGACACCTGTGGGTCAGCTGTGTAGTTCCCCAAACAAGTTGGGGGACAGGTTGTCTGATCCCCAAGAAGCTGGAGCAGCAGACAGCTTGTCGGGCCTCCCTGAGCCAGAGGCTGACAAAACCGAGCGGGAAGAGACCCCGGTCCAGCCGGGGGTCCCTTGTGGGGCTGAGCGGGATGATGAGTGTCGCTGGCACGGCCCTTCCCCCCCAGGACCTTCCTCCCCGGGGGCCGAGAAAGAACACCACCGAGCCAGGAGAGTGGTCAAAGCCGGAACTCCGTTTATTAGAAAGGTGTTGGAGTTTATATAGAGGAAGAAAGCGGAAACAGAGAGGAGAGGCGGGAGGAGATGGTTATCCAATCAGGGGAAGCCACAAGTTATGAAGAGGGGTGATGACAGGGCGGGCAAAAACTGCTTAGTCACTGGGCCCCGGAAAAGAAGGACTTCTAGCTACGTGCATTAAAGCGCTCGTGAAACGGCGGCGGAGGCCTTACGCCAGCAAGATGGCCACCACTTGATCTATTTTAGGGAACAGGAACCATACTTAGGCAGGCGCCTTATGATTTGATTGCGCCGCAACATGGCCCAACATGCCGCCCCGCCCCCGCCAAGAAACAGACATTAGATATGGGAAAATCCCTTATGGCGAAAATGCACCGTAATATGGCCCAACAACAGCTGACTGCTCCTCAACCTGGTTCCTAGATCTCAGGGCCTGGGATCACCAGGTTGTGGTTCCCAGATTCTTTTCTCAAAGAATTGTCTTCCAAGACTCAAGACAGAGCAGTGCAGTGAAGAGAGTGCTTTGGGGTCCACCAGACCTGGGGCTGGCAGCAACTGCTGACCCACCCTCTAAGCGCAGTCCTCTTCCTTTGGATAGTCTTGTGAATTTCAGTGGAGCATATGGTGCATTACTTCACATTTCCCAGCCTCCCTTGAAGCTCAGTGTAGCCACATGGTTAGGTTCTGTCCAACAGGATGCAAACGTGAAGGAAATGTGCAACTTCCTGGTCACATCCTTGAAAGGAAAGGAGCTTCCATTTCAGAGGGAAAAAAAACAAAAGTCCTGGCAATACTTCCTGAGATGATGGAAATGTTTTACCACCGTGCTGACCAATGTGGTAGCCACTAGCCACATGTGGATATCAAACACTTGAAATGTGGCCAGTGTGATTGACGAACTGAATGTCTAATTTTATTTAATTTTAATTTTAATTTAAATAAATTTTATCTAATTTTAATAATCAGCTGGCTACCATTTTGGACAGCACAGCCCTAGGTGATCCACCTTGGGCCTCCCCTGCTCCCCCCAACCCATCCCCCAACTGGCTCTGCCACCCACATTGGCCTCCTTGCTGCGCAGAGCACTGCAGGTGTGCTCCCATCTATGTTTTGCTCTGGCTCTTCCCTTTCTGGAGCACTCTTCTCCCAGACATTCACTTGGCTAATTCCTACACCTCCTGCAAGCCTTTGCTTAAATGTCACCGTTATAGAGACCCCCTATTTAATACTACAACCTGTCTCCCCCCACACACACACCCAAGTCCTCTTACTCTATTCTACCTCTTCCCCCATAGTGTTTATGATGTTCAGACCTACTATATAGTTTACTTATTTGCACGTGTTTTTTATTCCCGACTGTCCTTGCTAGAATAAAAATACTACCAGAGCAGAGTACAGAGATCCTTGTTTCATTCACTGATGAATCCAAGAATCCAGTATAGGGCCCAGCATATAGTAGGTGCTCAATAAATACTTGTTGAACCAGGGGAAAAGAAAAAGGGAACTACCTACCCCCTTCTCTCTTCCCTGTGGGGAGAAATGCAGACATGTTGGTGGAAGCTGGAGCAGACCTTGGACCTGGCGTTGGAAAGTGTATCAGAACATTAGGAAAAGATGAAAAGGGGTGTGGGTCCCCATTATTGCACAGCTCTGCACTGCTTACACCCAGCAGAAAAAACACCCATCCTGTTCACACCACCCTTATATCTGAAGTTTGGTTACAGCAGTCAGAAAGAACCTGCACCTAACTTACTGGGTTAAATCCCAGTTGATACCTTAGAAGAGTTACTTTCTTTCTCTGAGCATGTTTCTTCATATCCACAATGCAGCCAACACCCGCCTCATGAGGATCTTGGTAGGATTAAATGGCGTTGCACATCCAGTGCCTTGGAAGACCCAGCCTGGGATAGGCTTTCCATAAAGAGCTACTCGGAGCGGCTGTATAGAGCGGAACTTGGGTGTGGAAGGGCCAGGCCCCTGGATTCCACTGAGAAGAGATGAGGTGCTCAGAGTGGGTGCATCTTTGAGTGCGTAACTCACTCAGGGACTGGGCAATGTGTCTCAGTGCTGGAGTCTCAGGTGCACAGAAGGGACAGGGGCACACAATCTCCAGCACACCCAGCAGACCCTCAAGCCTAAAGGAAGTCCCTACTTCTCTCAGCACCTCTGGGGATAGGGCCAAGGAGCAGGGAAGCTTCCATTTGGTGAGGCATGCAAGAGGAAGGGTCTGCAGAAGCCGAGGCATTGTCAGTAAGTCCAGGAAGCAGGTGGAACCAGGGTCACTGTGCCCACGCCCTACCCCATTACTAGAAAGTTCCTCCGTCCTCCAGCGATGCAGACCTCCTCTTTCCCTAGACCAAGCTCTCAGGGAACTGAGAGGCAAGAAAGTCACCACTAGGGGAAAGGGGGATAAAAGGACCACACACAGACATGTTTAGGATTTTAAAAGTGTTTATCTGAATCTCCTCCTTCCCAAACTTCCAGGTGGGGCCGCACGGGAGGGAGGCCTGGCAGTGAGGTGAGCTTCTTGAGGACACCACGGTCACCATGACCAAGCCAGTGTTTCCTCATTTACAAAATGAGGACAGTGGGCCACATAGTCCAATCGCACCATAACGGCTGACAAATCTGTTTGTCCCCAAAGATGGGTCTGAGAGAGAGGAAAACAGACAGGGATGGTGAGTTAGGGCTTGAGCTCCCCGGGGTCAGGAGACTCTTCCATCAGCTGCCGGAGGTGCGAGGCTGCCCTGTCCAGTTTCGACAGTTCCAATTGTAGGGAAGAGAGCTGGATGAGGAAAGAAGAGGGAGGGTCAGTGCAGGGCACACCCCTCCCAGCCCACACCCCCTTAGGGAGCCAGGTCCTGGGTGGCCTGCCCAGCCTCACCCGTTGCTGCATCTGAGTCTCTGCCACCCCTTCCAATGGGGCCTGGGCTAGGAGGCTGTCCAGCTGCTTCTGCAACTTGTGCCTTCGGGCAGCTAGCAGAGGAAGATGTGTCTGCGGGTCCACTAGACCCTGGCGTAGCACAGGAAGAGAAGGCTCGGGCCTCTGCAGCCTGCTCAAGGCCTCCATCTTCTCCATTCTAAGGGCCCTTCCTTTCCTCCCAACATTCTTCCAAATTCCTCCCCTCCCCCTCCGATCCCCACCAGTCACCTGCAGCTCCATGTAGACCTGAAGTGTGCCACTTAGTGCGGCCTGGGCCCAGCCGGTGGGAGCTGCTGTACCTGGGGGTAAGAAGCCCACGGCCCCACAGTGGCCCAGGGTGCCCAGAGGCTCCAGGAAGGACTGGAAGAGGCCCTGCTCCCCAGGCTCGGGGCTCTGCAGCAGCACTGGTGAAGAGCGGGACATTGTCAGGGTCAAGACATCAGCTCCCATCCTGCACCTCCTAACTCTTTGGTCTGCCCTCAAGCTTTCCCTTTTTCCCCATCTGCCCTTTCTTCCTGCAGAGATCAGGAGCTCAGGACCCACCTCACCTCGGGGCCGGGCTGTGGTGAGCTGGTACGTGGCTCGGAGAGCCCTCAGTGTCTGTGCAGCCTCCTGGACCCGGGAGAAGCGCTGCTCCAGCTCGGGCTGGCGCCAGTGCTCCTGGCAAGGGGGTATACTGAGTTGGCAAAGGGGCTCCTGGGAGACTCTATCAGCTCTCCTGGATCTATCCTCAACACACCCACCCTCACCTTCTGAGGGCAACAGGATGTCCTCAACACCACACACAAAATTCACCATATCAAGGAACATGGCAAAAAGTGGGAAGTCATCTAAGAAGCTTTTAAATGATCAGTGATTGGGCCGGCCCGGTGGCACACTGGATAGTGCGCCGCTTGGGAAGCGCAGCGGCGCTCCCGTCCGAGGGTTCGGATCCCACGTGCAGACCGGTTCCCGCTCACCGGCTGAGCGAGGCGCGGGAGCAACACCAAGGTTTGCAATCCTGTTGCCGGTCCCCGGTCCAGTAGGGGGGCAACACTGAGGGTTGCGATCCGTTGCCGGACACGGAAAAAAGACAAAAGACACACAAAAAAATAAATAAATAAATAAATAAATAAATGATCAGTGATTGATGTCTGTTTAGTTGCTCCGATTGAAGATGGCAAACAGCCAAGTATAAATAAGAATTTAAGTATATGATAATTCCTTGAACTTTCAAAAGGAGAGAATGGAACTGAGAACACGAGAGGTGGCAAAAGGGGGACAGGAGGCAGGGGTAAGGAGAAACTGGTAAAGGGCCACAAAAAATGTTTACATGTGTAATGATAAAACTTAAATAATAAATAAAAATTTGAATGTATCATTCAAAGTTCACAAAACCAAATAAGGATAAAATAAATTCAAATAGTTTAAATTTGGGGTGAGGGCTGGCTGGTTAGCTCAGTTGGTTAGAGCACAGACTTATAACCCCAAGATCATGGGTTCAGTTCCTAGTACCAGCCAGCCACCAAAAATATATAAATAAATTTGGGGTGAGTTTGTAGCATTTATCCTCTTGAAGTTATTAAGTCACACTGAGATTTTAGGGATACCCTGTTACTAACTCATCTAATCCTTATCACAACCATGACATGTACTATCACAGTTCTCAGTTTAAAGATGGGGGAAACTGAGGCACAGTCACACAGCTAATAAGTACCAGTCTAGCAACAGAGTCTTGCTCTTGACCACTATGCCAATACTGCCCCCTAAGACCCTAGAACTATCCCAGCAACACTGCAGGAACAATCCATCCTCCCAAAGGCTCCACAGTACAGTATAAACCACTACTATAAATGACCCCACAGCAGCAAAGCCTTTTAGGCTGCTCCCCAGCCCTTCACCAGTAGTCTGCTCCAAGAGACCGGGTACCCATGACTCACCAAGCTGTGGGCACTGGGGTAGGGGGCAATAGTGATGCTGGGGGCAGCAGTGCAGCCAGGCCTTTGGGGCAGCCTCTGCCAGAGCTCTTCAGCCAGGAAGGGCATTAGCGGGGCAAGGAGCCGGAGCCCAAGGTCAGCGCAGGAGAACAGGACCTGAGAGGGCCCTGAAGAGCGGGGTGAGCGCGACAGCACCGGCTTCACGGCCTCCTAGGGAGGAAGCCAGGGGGTCAGAGGCCAGGCCCACAGCCTCGTCCATCCTCCACAGTCTGCCCTAACTACCAGTGGGAATGCTGTGGGTAAACAGTGGCAGTTCCTGGGAGTCAGGGACAGGCAGAAGCACTTAGCATCTCTGACACCATCAGCTGTCCCAGGACACTCTGGAGCATGTGAAGAGGGGAAATCCAGGGCAGTGATTCTCAGAGGTGGTGACAGTAAGACTTGCAGGGAGACATGCATAGTTTATGAAAAATCATGGAGTGTTTGCTTATGAGAAGGGACAGAGGTTAAGGGGATAAGGGCAGTGAACTAGGGCAGTGGTCCGGAGTCAGCAGCATCAGCATCACCTTGGACAAGAAATGAACATGCTCGATGCCCCACCCCAACCTTCTGAAGGAGCCACTTTGCGGTTGGCTAGGCAAGCCGTGGTCAGTGAGCCCTCTGGGGCCCAGCGTGAGAACCCCCGGCCTAAAAGCCACCACTCTCTCTCAGAGCCCAGCCTGTGAGTCCTTTCCTACTGAGGGAACAATTAGAGGCTCTGCCATGGAACCCGACTCAAGGGGAACCTGAAGCAGGCCTGCAGGAGTGGCCTTGCTCACCAGGTAGACGTCACAGAGGCTGTGGAGCCAGAAGTGGTGCAGCGCGTGGGTGACCAGTGAGAGCTCCCGGGTGAGGAAGCCCCGCTCGCATTCCCAGGCAGCAAGGGCAAGGCGGCTCAGGATCCAGGCATCCACGGGGCAGGAGGGAGACAGCTGTGGGCAGCAGGGACTTCAGGACCAGGCCGGCTCAGCTCCCACACCCCTGTCTCCTTTCCCTCCAGATGCCGCCTTCAGCCCTCAGACAGCTGACTCCCCCACTCCCAAGCACCTCTGCTTTCTCTTACCTCCTCTGCAGGCTGAGGTACAAATTTCTCCCCTAGGACTTTGAGGATAAAGCGCAGGGCATTCCAGATCTTGTTGCAGAAATGCCGGCAGCTCAGGACCTCCGAGACAGACAGGTGCAAGTCACCCCCTCAAGGGAAGAGAATGGAGGGAGTCTGCTGGGGTGGCAGAGGCACAGAAGTCCTCGATCCTGCCCACTGCCCTCTGCTCACCCCAACAACTCTCGCCCCACCTCACCCAGAACTCCATGGGAGCACAGCGTGAATCTCAATGCATCTGTCCCACACTCGGGGATGCCATGAGGAAAGTCCTTTTTCTGCAACCAGAGAAAGAAGAAAGGTGGCAAATGCCTATGAGGCTAGAGGGCCAGAGGCCTGGGTTTTGGAAGAAACCAGTGGCCCCAGCTACAAGTTGGGAGGGGGCAAATGCACAACTCGCCTGTGCTGCAGCTGCAATGGCCAGCTCTGAGGGGTCCAAGCTGCCATCTCTCAGCTTTGCCTGCAGCTCCTGGGGAGAGGGAGCAATTCACAGGCCTAGGTCGAAGGCTCACCTCTACAAGGGTCACACCCACTGTCCCTCACACCACGTCCCTCCCCTCCTCCCTCCCACAACGCCCCTGCCTAGAGCCAGCTCTTTATCCTCACCTGCAGCTCCACCCCACTGATGATGTCCCGGGGGTCCAGCACATTCCCCAAGGACTTGCTCATCTTCCGGCCCTGCCTGTCCCGAACCATGGAATGAAGGAGCACCTAGAGGCACAGAGGGAGTCAACAGAGGGGGCTTGGACAACTTTTCCCTGGAGAGTCTCCTGGAATCTCTTGGCCTCCATACTTTAGGGGTTAGGGTGGGAAGTGAACCAGTAAAAAGGAGTTGGAAACATGGAAAACACATTAGGGAACAGAAGAAAGGAAGACAGGTTTGGGGGAAACTGGGGAGTCACAGAAAGGGGCAGGGCACCAAAGGGCTGTTACCTTGCTGAAGGGGAGCTGCCCCGTGAGCTGTGTGCCCAGCATAATCATGCGGCCTACCCAGAACAGCAGAAGGTCGTTGCCCGTCTCCAAAAGTGACAGGGGGTAGAAACGAGCAAGATCTGGGGTCTGAGAGGAAGAGACAACAGTGAGAGGCCCAAGCCCTGGCCTGCAGCTATCTGGAGACTGCAGGGCCAGCTGTCCTCCTTCTTCATCATCCCACCACCTTCGCTCTCCCTCTCAACCCATCTCACCTTTTGGGGCCAGCCCAGGGCAGAAAAGGGGAAAAGAGCCGAAGAGAACCATGTGTCTAGGACATCTGGGTCTGCAAAACAGAACAGGGAATGGGACAACTGGAACCTTGGCTTCTAGGACCTCAGACCGCTGCTGCCCACCCTTCCAGGCCAACCCCCACCCCCAAAACAAGGGCCCTCACCTCTGGCTCCACTCTCAGCTTCCCTAGCCCTACCTTCTCCATCTCAGTCCTGCTCCCTTGTATACTCAGATGCCCTGTCCCCTCCCCTCCACTCCCCACTCAAGCACTCACCCCTGTCCAGGACCAGCTCCGCCCCTGGTCTCCCTGTCAGTTCTGCTGCTACCTCCCTGGCTTCAGCCTCTGACCGCCCGACCACCCAACACTCCTCCCTGTCGCCCTGCAAAAGAAGTAAGGTGTGGGGGAGGGGGGGGAGAGTAACAACTGACAGGTGTTGATAGAGTTTGGATGTGTTGTCCCCGCCAAAACTCATGTGGAAATCTGATCCCCAATGTGGCAGTGTTGGAAACTGATTGAGCCATGGGGGCGGATCCCTCATGAAAGGATCAGTGCTCTCCCTAGGTGAGGGGGGATTAATGAGTGAGTTCTTGCTCTATTAGTTCTCATGAGAGCTGGTTGTTTAAAGACCCTGGCACCTCCTCCCCCCTTGCTTCCTCTCACCATGTGATCTGCTTGTACCTGCTGGCTGCCTGCCACTTTCCACCATGAGTAGAAACAGCCTGAGGCCCGTGCCAGATGCAGCTGTCCCAGAATGGTGAGCCAAATAAACCTCTATTCTTTATAAATTACCCAGTCTCAGGTATATCTGTTATAGCAACACAAACGGACTAATACAGGTGTAAACATCACTGAGTTTCATGCCCTCTTGTGTGGTCTGAGAGTGGCTGGCCCACTCTGGGGGAGAGGGGAAAGAACTCCGGCCCAGGCCCAAGAACTTCCATTGCGCAGTAGGTCACATGACTGAGACCACACACACAGTAGCAGGCAGCAGCCGGGACTGGGACTGGCACTTGCAGCCCTGACTCCTCGGCTACCCTCTTCCTGCCACTCCCAGGCCCCCTCAGCTTCCTCCTACCAACCTTTGCATGCCCCTCCGTGACCAGGTAGGCTGGAATCTGATGGCCCCACCACAATTGCCGGGAGATACACCAGTCCCTGCCAAGAGATCAGCAGTGACACCTCAGCATAACCAGGGGACTCTCCCTACCTCCATGAAAGCTCCCCTTACCCAATGTGGGAAAACCAGTGCTGCCAGTTCTTCTGGTGGAAGGAGGGGCTCAGCTCCAGGGCCCCCGACTCCACAGCCTGGAGGGAAAAGGGGCTTTAGACAAGGCTTCCCTTCCTGCACGTGTGCCTCCCGGATGGGACAAGTGGCCTCTGAGGTGGTTTTAAAACTCAGAAAGGACTTCCTGGCCTCCTGGAAAGATTCCGGGCTTGAGTGAGGGTCCGAGGCAGCCCTCTCTGGGCCACCTTGCCTCCATCCCACACTACCCTCCTCCCAATTACTGCAGCTAGAGAGGTCTTCAGGGCAGGAGGTCCTCCAGCCTACTGTTTCTCCATTCCAATTCTCAGGGAGCTCCCCCACCCACAGCCCAGTCCTTCCTTGCAGGACAGCCTCACCTTGGCAGCTCGGTCCCCCATTTCCCGGCAGCGGACAAACCACTGGCTCTTCAGTAGGTATTCTACCACATCCCCAGAACGGCTGAAAGGGAGACAGGGTGAGTCCACTGGTCCTCAGGCCCTGTGCCTTCTCCCAGGGACACAGGATCCTACTACAAGCCAGGCCCTAACCACTGAGGAGACAGCAGCGAATATATCAACACAGAACTTGTATTCTACTGCAGGGAGTGGGGAACCCAGCCTGTCATTTCACATAAGCCTCATCCGTTCCCTTGTGGGGGTGGCCCTTGATAAAGGAGTTAAGATGGGATTACCTGCACAGGCGCAGCACCATGGGGTGCTCCCGGAGGCCCCGGAACAGGCCCCGTTCCCTCAGCGCAGACATAATCTTTTCCCGTGCCACAAATCGGTGAAGACCCTGGGGAAAGTGGCAATGGTGAAAATGAGAAGCCTCTAGAGAGACAAGAAAGTGAGAGGGGGAAGGAGAGGAGGAGGGTGCCCCCAAAGGATGGGGTAACACTGAGTCTGGTACCACCTGCAGCCAGTCCCCACAGAGGGAGGTCATGGTCCCATCCTCTGCAATGACACTCAGGGGGCTCAAGCCATGTCGGGCCCCCATCTCAGCATCAGCAGGACTGTGAGCTGGAGTCACCTTCACTGCCCCTGCGGGAGCACAACTACAGTGAGCAAGAACTTGACCTTGGCTTCTTCTCCAGATGTATTATCATCGCTCACCCCTCGGCTCTTCTTCTCTATGCCTTTTTGTTCCCCACTACCCATTCAGACGACCCTATACTCCCTGCCCCATGATCCTCCTCCTCCTCCTGGCTCCCTCCCCTCTCCCCAGAACCCTCAACTCTCTCTCCCTCCCCTGATCTCCACTCACCTGTGCCCACATGTGGCTGAACAGCAGAGTCTGTGATGAGGGGGAGAAGCTGCCCTGTCAAGGGGTGACGAAGCCAATGCCCGTGTAGATGCTGAAGAGAAGGGACAGAGATCAGGGACAGGCATGAGTGTGGGGTGGAAAGATCTGGACTGGACTGTGAAAACCCCAGGAATCAGAGGGTGGAAACCAGAAGGTAAAGAGCTGGAGCAAGGTCAGCACATTTTCTTAAGGGGCCAGAGTGTATATACTTTAGGTTTTGGGGCCAAGAGGCAAGTTCAGTCTCTGCACAATTACTCTGCTCTGACACTGTAGCTGAATTAGATAATACATATAATGGCAGCTACAGATAAAGCACAAACGACAGAGTGTGGCTCATACAAAAATAGGAAGCAGGCTGGATTTGGTCCACAGGTCAATTTGTCAACCTTTGTGCTACAGAAAAAGTTTAACATCAAGAAGAGAAGGGAGTAGAATCTGAGCCATTGCAGAGCTGAGATGAGACAAGACGACTTAGGAAAGGAAAGCAGAAGTAGGAGGGAAGGAGCTACCATCTTCAAAGGACAGGAAGAGAAGGCAATGGGAGCCGCTGCATATTACTGTGTATCGAGAGTCCTCGGGATGAACAGCCACGGCCACATCTCCAGGCAACGTCTCTGGCCTTGTGGTTCCTACCACAACCTCTGCATCTGAAGACAAACATTCAAGCACTAATAGCTGGTCATCGCCCTCATTCCTCACTCCCGACATAGCTAAAGCCAATAGAACTGGAAAAGGGCAGGTGCAGGGAGCAGTCGACGTGAAGCAGGTCCCTAGGAATAACTAGAGAACAAGAAGCAGTGTTGATGGAAGCCTGGGACTTCCTGTAAGCTCATGACCAGAAGCCCGAGAGGGTGTCTGGTGCTAAGGAATTCCTCGATAACTGCATGGGAGAAATGGGGACAGCACTAAAAAAACCACTAGAATCCTTGCTGGGTGCCCAGAGGACAGTGGGGATTCTCAGTGTCCGAATCACAAATGCTGTACATTCTTTAGGGCTAGCATCAGCTCCTCCTATAAGCAACTTCCTCTGGCTATTCCAGCTCATGTATCTTCCCCTTCTCTGAACTCTTTAGAACACTTACTGTACAAACCACGCTTTAGAACTGATCTTTTGTCTCTTTCCTTGGGTAGCAGATTCCCGCAGAATTACACCAAGCTCCCAAAGGGCAGTGACTACATGCACTTTTCTTACATCCCCAGAATACCCTGGGTAAATGCCCACAATGATGTGAACACTACCAAGGTTCACGTGAGTTCCCAGCAGCCCAACGTAGGTGCAAGAAAACCGGGGAAACCGGTAAGTGGGCGACCCTTCAGAGGATTACACGCACCAGGCTCTCCATCCACGGGGAAGGCAACAGACAGTAGGAAGCCAAAAGACACAGGGGTGGGGCAGCCAGGCAATAGAAGCTCCGTACGGCCAGACAGGGGCCGGCTCTCCACCTGGAGGTGTTGAGGAAGCTGGGTCAGAGAGCAGCCCTCCTGCAAAGCTCACATCCAGGCTTCCTACCACCACTCAGCTGTCCACCCCAGCCTCCCTGCAATCCATCTAAAAGCCATGCAGAGGATTTGAGAGCCACCCCCTCTCCCCTCACCCAGTTTTGTGCAGTCACAATTACAGTAAATATTCATTAAGCAGTCAAGCCATGGTCAGGTGTTGTGCTGAGCACCCTACATGAGTTCTTATTTAATTTTTACAACAACCCCCTGACGCAGGCATTCCATCGTCTCTAATTTACAAATTGAGGAGGTTAAACAAGACTAAATAGCCTGCCAAAAGTCACACAGCTGTTGGTGGCAGGACTCAGACTTGAATCCAGGCAGTCTGGCTCCAAGGTCTGGACCTCTAACCACTCAACTACCCTTTCTCAGAGCTCTCATTTCTTCCTCTGCCTCACCTCAATGTCTGAGATGGCTGATCTTAAAGCACATGACCAGTTGACAAGCTGATGGTTCCGGTACAACAACCCCGCCTCGTAGAGTCGCACAAAGGCTTCGGTCACAGCCACTGAAGAGCCCTAGAACAACCTGGGTGTCCACATATAACAGCCGCTTCTCAGCCCAGTCAGGGACCCAGGCATTCCCACCTCCCTGCCCCAATAGACCCAACAACCCCCTTCCCCACACAGAGCCCTAAACACCCCCACCAACACCCAGAGGGACTAAGGCACAGAACACTCACAGCATCCATGGTAAAACACTCTCGATCCCAGTCCAGGGAGGCACCCAGAGCTCGCAGCTGCTCACAGATCTCTCCACCTTTCCTGTGCCCAGAAAGATCCTTGTCAGTAAATATGTCCCCAGCACCTCCCATGTGTACCAGGCCCAGTGATGTCCCCAGCAATGCCGAGTACTGGAGGAAAATAAAAAGTGAGTATAGCATTGATGTAGCCTCTAGAAGCTAATGGAGAAAGGCTCACAAACCCAGTATGGGGCTTTCTATGAAATTAAAAGAAGCAAGAGGAGGAGCAGCCAATTTGTGGAAAATCCAAGGAAGTTACACAGAGAGGATGGCACGTGGTAAGAAACCTGGAAAAATGAGGATAATTTCATGGGAATAGGAAGGTCAGTGTGTGAGAGCAGAAGAGGTAATGAAACCTAGACAAAGAAAAATGGGATAATTAGGGGGAAACAATATATATACACACACACGTTAACATGTACATTTTAACATATATATAGTACACACACACACACACACACACACACAAAGCTTGAAGACTCCAGCAAATTCTAAGGGGCTACACAGCTTACATCTCTGAGGAAGTGAAGGACATGCTAGGAAGAGCCAAGGACCACAAGTTAGGAGAGAAAGTGGTGGGAAGCAAGGACCCACAAAGCTTGAAGACTCCAGCAAATTCTAAGGGGCTACACAGCCTACATCTCTGAGGTAGTGAGGGACATGCTAGGAAGAGCCAAGGACCACAAGTTAGGAGAGAAAGTGGTGGGAAGCAAGGACCCAAACCTGCCACCTCGGCCCCTCCAGCCTGGCCTGTCATACTCACGCCTCCTTCCACTGCCACACCTCCCTGAGGAAGTCTTCCCGGCTCAGCTCGTGTCTCCTCACCCCCCGCTCCTTCCACATCTGTTTCTCCACCACAGCCTGCAGTAGGATTAGAGGGCAAATGAACAGTCAGATTGCTCAGGGGGAAATCACTTTCACCCAAGAAAAGGAAAATGTCACAAAAGACATACTTGTGTAGCAATTCCTGCGTGATCTGTGCCAGGCACCCACAGCACCTGATCCCCACGCATCCGGTGCCTGTAACAGAAATACCCTCACCTGAGCCCCTAGGCTTACATGTTTATCCTCACTCATTCCTGCACCTTCTACTTTCCCTCCTAGAACTCAAGCAGCCCCCATTCCCCTCTCACCAGCGCACAAGGGCATCCTGTATGGCCACCGTGAGTGCATGGCCGATGTGCAGGGAGCCAGTGACATTGGGTGGTGGGATACACATGGAAAAAGTCTTCCCTGTGGCCTGGGGCAGCCGGGCCTAGAAGGAGAAAAGCCAAAGGGCAGAGAGGATTGGGTGTCACCTGGGGGAACAGCACCCTCTGGTGTCTCCAAGGCAGGAAGAACTCTAGGATAGAACTGTCCTGCAAATAACAGGAAAGTGGAGGGGACGGGAGGGGACCTGCCAAAAAAAAACCTGCGTGGGCCCTGGTCCCGCAGCGCCTCCCACTTCCTGGAGGCCGCCCCGCGTGCGCTCACCCGGCGACTCCGCCGCTGTGCCAGGACGCCCCGCGGCGGGAGGAAAGAAGGGGCACCCGCAAAGCCCACCCAGTATCTTGACCGACGACCCGCGCGGCGCATGGAGGCGTGGCCCGCGGGGCGCATGCGCAGTAGCTGGCCTCGCCCCTCCCAGCCCAATGGCCGTCGACGCCAAGAGGGAGAGGAGGGAGTCCACCGTGGAGCTGGGAACCCCATAGGAAGGCACCCGGGGCTGCAGAACTCACTTCCATAACTTTATTAAACAAGAAAAATCCCGACGTGTAAGTAAAAAAACACCTGAGTTCTGCGGCCGCGCCCGCCGCCACGCTGCCGCCACGCCCGGTCCCGCCCGCCCGGGTCCCGGTCCGGTCCCAGCCCCCGTCCCGAACTCTCAGGAGCTGTGCTTCTGCCGCTTCCAGAAGCGCTTGACGTCGCTGTGTCCGGCCGGGGTCACAACCATGAGCCGCTTGGCCGAGTTCTCGAACACCAGCACGCCCAGCTCCCGCGCGTGGGCCAGCAGTAGCTCAAAGTCCACTTGCGACAGGAACTGGTTATACAGCACGCCTGGGGCGGCAGGACGGGAGGCGCGGGGAGAGAGGAGAGATGGAGAGCATGTGAGGCCGGAGCTCCACGCGCCCGGGAGTGATCTCAGCCCTCCGTGGCAGCCTCAGAGCGGTGGTCTGGCCTTGTCCCCAGCGCAGTTTTAAAAACCAATTCTCAGGCCGGCCCGTGGCTCACTCGGGAGAGTGCGGTGCTGATGACACCAAGGCCTCGGGTTCGGATCCCATATAGGGATGGCCGGTTCGCTCACTGCCTGAGCGTGGTGCTGGCAGCACTAAGCTAAGGGTTAAGATCCCCTTACCGGTCATCTTTAAAAAATAAATAAATAAATAAATAAAAACCAATTCTCTGTGCCTGTCTGCTCAGGGGCTTATCTTAACACAATGTGATCCAGCCATATTCAGAAAGGCAACATGATACAATAAGAAAACCTATTAATGCTCACCAAAACCAGAAAAATACTGTAGATTATCCCTCCCACTTGCCCTCTCCTACCTAAATCCAGTTGCACTGATTGAGGACAATTTTTTCATTGCTACTGACTCACCCCAAAATAAAAAGTGTCTTGCCAGCATTTCTCAGACCATGCAGTAAACGAAAAGTAAAACACACAAAAAGCTTTTTCAGCTCAAGACAACTGTCTACCCTTCCTCCAGCCAAGGACCAAGAATGGGCCACCAGAAGCCACTCACCCTCAGTGAACCGGAGTCTGTCCCTTTCCAGCTCCCACAACCTAATCTGGTCCGTGATGGTGGGGGGCAGCACTGGTGTCTGCGGGAACAAGGGTTGACTGTAGGGATTCAAGTATACCGCCCCAGACAACCCACCGTCCACTCATTCCCCAGATTTGGATGCCTCTTTTCCTTTTCCATCATCTCATGGCCAGGTGCCAGGGGCTCCCAGCCTCTGGCATCTTGGTGCCTCTCTGTACCTGTTTGAGCATCACTGGGTGGGCCCTTGTCCTTAGGAAATGGATTATCTAGGAAAACAGACAAGAATGGGATGAGGGCTCAAGCAAAAGAGCAGGAAAGCCATCTGAGCTGTCACCTAATGTCAATGGAACATCAACTTACTGTTTAAAAACTCATAGCCATGTCTCTGTCATCAACTCAACCCATCCCTATTCAGCTGTTATCTCAGGTTGCTGCTCCCACTGGTTATGTCTGCTATTCTTTCTCTGGCACATTTGCCCTTTCTATAGTCTTGTTTTGTTTTTCTTTCTTAAAAATAGCAGCAGCTACTATTTTTTGAGTACTTACTGCATGGCAGGCTCTGAGCTAAATACTTTACTTCTGTTCTCTCATTGAATCCTCCCAACAACCCTGTGAGGTGAGAACTGTCATTTACCACAAGAGGAAACTAAGGCTCACAGAGGTGAAGCAACAGTTTATGCAGTTTAGGCCCAGTTTACACAGCTAAGAAGTGGTAGTGCCAAGACACAAATATGGAGCTATATCTCCTCCCTCCCATGTTTTGTTCTGTTTTGTTTTTTGCCTCAAGGGTCTGCCTATTCCCACACCTAAAGCCCTGATTTCTCCTCATGTGCCTGGTGCTCAAACACAGACAACTCACCACCACTTACTGTAACAGGCACTGGTCTCCCGTAATGTGACAAGCCTGAATCCCACAGCCCAAGTGTGGCCCGTCTTCCCACCCCCACCTCCCTCCATGGGAATACCTGTTGGGCTGTGATGCCACTGGCAATGGCCTGCTGCACACTCTCCCGAGTCACCTGAGCCACCACCATGTTGGGGAAGCGATAGAGCATCTCAGAGAAGAGGGCAATGAGGGCGATCTGCAGTTCCGACTCTGACCCAGGGGTAGGAAGAAAGGATGAAGAGGCTACCCTATACCCAGACCCTCTCAAGCCCTTCCTTCAAGTGTGATGAGAAATGTCAGAAAGCTCCATAAACAGCCAGGTAAACAGAACAAAAACTGGTGTTCCCTCCTGCTTCCTTCCCCCTCCAGCTCCCTCTCGCAGCCTGCTCTCCCAGGGGCCCTGTCTGGCCTCACCTGTGTAGGCATACAGTCGGTAATTGGTTTCCACAACAATGAAGCCTGGCTGATGCACAGTGCCCCCAGCTCCAGAGACCCCTGAGGAGAGATTGATGGCCAGGCGCGTGGGGTAGTAACGCCGAGATTTCCTCTGGAAAGGACAGGGGGAAGAGCAGATGCCATCTCTCAGGTGTCACCGCCCCACACCTTTTGCCTCAGACATCAGATCCCTCCCGGTATACAGAACCTCAACCTTCACCTTATCTCCACCGAGGGACTCAAGTATTCAATCCTGACAACTGCTTCTTGCTGCCCCAAGACCCCACTCCTTTTCAAAGGCCAAGGCAACACACCACCCTTCTTCTTCCCTAGAAGCCATGGATCTGAGTGCTCATACCTTCCTCTGGAAAACAAGCCCAAACTCACGCAGATGTTGCAGGAAGTTCAATAGAGAATCACTCATACCTTCCACAGAATAATCCTGAGGAAGAGAGGTGGCCAGCTGGGGTCCAAAACACATCTCATCCTCTCTCCCCCAACCCCATACACTTAGTCCCTCTTTCCCCACCTCTGGTCACTATGTGTTCATTTTCATCTTCTCACTCTGTTGCCCTACAGCCTGATTTCCCCTTCCCATCTCCATACCCTCCAGCCCCCTGCTTACCTTGCCCAGAGTGGAGAAGCTGAGCTGGAAGAGGAAGGAAAGAATCTCTACTAGGTCCATGCCCCGGCTCTAGGGAGAAAGGGGCAAAGACAAAAGAGGAGAGATGGAAGGGAGAAAATGGGAGGAGAGGGATAGAGAAGAGAAAATCTGGGAATAGCGTCTGTAGGCAGCAGTCACTCAGTCAGACCTGAGGAGAGCAGAACGTGCTGGCAACTGGCCCCAGCTCCTCACCTGGGCTGTCTGCAGATACTGCAACATAAAGTACCAGAGCTGGGCAGGGGTATCCAGCAACAGGAACTGGAAGCCAGCAGAGGTAATGCAGGGTGGCTCCCCAGGCTCAGTGCTAGAGACAGAGGGGGCAATGATGGAGATGTGCAGAGAAAGGCGACCAGCTCCACCTGTCCTCTCACAGCTCTTCTTGGTATCTCTGGCTGTACTCCACTCAGCTGTCCTTTTTCAGTCAACTCTCTCCAATCCTGACTCACCCCAGACACACAGTTTATCAGGGGCCCAAGGAGACGGCAAAGCAGAGAGCGGTCGGCACGTCTGGCTTCCTCACCTCTTCATGAGCCCAGCCTGGCTGAGGAGCTGAGCCAAGTCCTGGCTGACAGCTGCACTGGGGGAGCCCACCATGAAGTGCAAGACCACCTGGGGAACAAAAGAGAATGGCGAGACCAATGCCACTAAGGGTTATGGGAAGCAGAAGCACACCAGAGATATGCAGAGTCCCAAGTCCTCACCTCCCATCGCTCCTCAGCATACTTGTCAAGTGAGGGAACATCCCGAGCATGCTTGTCTGGTCCCAGCTGACTTGTGTCATCAGACCAGGCCTTCCCCCTATGGCCAGGATGGACTAAGAGTAAGGAACCCCGTCTCTGTTCCCTGCTGCCCCCTGTCCTCTTTCCACCCTTATCCCCATGGGCCATGAGTGGGGGACATTTTCTGTACCATGCAGTATATTTGGTCTAACTTATTCCTAAAGGAGCTTCCAAAAGGGGAGCCCACAAGGTTCTAGGAGGCCCCTCAGGAGCTCCCCCTCCAGCAGTTAAATTACTAGTTCCCCTGGCTTAGCTTAGGAAGAGATGTAAGTGACATACCCACCCAGAAGGGCAATGCGGAGGTTCTGGCGGAAGATGGGGTTGAGAATGAGGCCCTGGAGACCGCCAGGGAGCAATTGGGTGTGCCAGATACGGAGGCCGCTCAGCAGTCCTGTACTTTCCTCCTGAGCCCTGGAACAGGAGAGACATGAATAGGGTGTCTGGAGAACAAAAAGAAGGAGCCCATAAAGGCCTCCATTTCTTCCTTTTCTAAACTGGTGGTCCTTGGAAAACTGTCCCACCGAGTGAAAGCAATGTCTTCTTAAGACAAATATCTTTACTGCAACACCTATCAGAGCCTTGTTATAGACATCATAACTCTCCAAGAAGGAAAATACAGTACCAGAGTTTCCCAAACTTACTTAATTACAAGTTTTGTGGTATACCTATTATTATTTCCTGGAAGTATCCCAAGGAACAGCAGTTTGGGAAATC